ATCATTACCACCCACGACAACAGTGTTGCCACTTGCTGATTTTGGGACTTCTACTAATACTACTCCCCCTTGTCTCCAAATATAGTACACCAGATGACCATATTCTTGAGAATATTCCTGAGGTAAGCTCTACTATCCCTGTTGATGTATCTAATCTTTCAAATTATCAATTACCTTTCAGGCACAACCGAGGAAATCCACCTAACATATATTCACTGGAAACAATAAAAGGCTCTAAATATCCCATTGTCAACTATGTGTCATCACATAAATTATCAGAACCCGAGAAAGCCTTTGTACAACAAATATCCAATGATAGCACACCAAGTTCATTGAAGGATGCACTATTGGACTATCGATGGACCAAGGCAATGGAGAAAAAAATGGATGCACTTCAGAAAAATCAAACATGGAATTTGGTTTCGCTACCCCGAGGAAAGAAGATAGTCGGATGTAGATGGGTTTACACCATCAAGTATAAAGTCGATGGGTCCATAGAGCGATACAAAGCACGATTGCTGGTCAAGGGATACACTCAGATGTATAGTGTTGATTATACACCCCCAGTAGCGAAGGTAAGAGTGTTACTTTCTTTGGCGGCTAACTTAGATTGGCCATTATAGCAATTCGATGTGCAAAATGCTTTCTTACATGGCAATCTTAAGGAATAAGTGTATATGGATATTGTGACACGCCCCGACCCCAATATCCCAAAATATCAGGATATGCATGTGTTGGCCGACACTCGTGGGTGACGAAGCCATTTTAAACTTGCATACAAATAAAATATGTAATTAGAAAGAAATATACCAATGAAGAACCGTGTTCAGAGCATAAAACTAATCAATAATAATGTGAAAGAATTAATATAAAATGATACAAACAAAGAAGTGGGTTCTACTCTGAAAAGACTCGAAGATACCTACGCGGAGGTGTCCTAACGCCGGGATCGTGTGCCTTGAATCTAAATCCTAAAGGGGGCACAAAACCAAAAGAGTGAGTGGACCAAAGTTTATAATAATAGTACTAATAATAAGGAAACCATTTTCTTTATGAACATACTAACCCCCTATTTTGAAAACACATATAATAATACATAATAGGTTTTCTGAAAACTCTAGAATGCCATGAAAAATGTTCGTAAAACATGTAGGTGTAAACCAATGCTCATAAATGGTAATATAGCCACCCGAAGGAAAATTCGTAACTCTCCTCAATGATGTTCTCAACTAGGATATCATAGTGGCCCAAAGGCATAACCATCACCAAAGGTGAAGCTGTACGATACTAGGTTACGTCAGTGAAGAAATCATGGTCCATCACCCGAAAGTGAAGGTATACGACTCTAGGTTATGCCAGAGAAGAGATATATGTATATGCAGTGGGTCCATCACCTGAAGGTGAAGTTGTACGACTCTGAGTTACGTCAGAGAAGAAACATAAGGTTCATCACCCGAAGGTGAAGTTGTACGACTCTAGGTTACGCCAAAGAAGAAACATATACATATAACATATCACACTGACACTAGCCTCGGGCTAGTGAACCTAGGGGTATGTCATAAATATCATCAACTGTGTCCTATGGCCATAGACGTCTACATACTCGATTGTGTGTATGTGTTGTATGATAACCCACCAGATAAGCACTGAAAACGTATCTCAAAAATCTCATATCAAATCCCCATAGCTCAAAAGCTCAAAGCTTCATCTCATAAATCCATGATAATTCATATTCATAAATCCGTAAAATAAATCATATCTGCAAATCCATAAAATTTCATATACAAAATCCAATAATTCATAACCTTTCGTAAAATATAAATTCGATAATCATAAATAATGCATAAAACGTAAAATCATGAAATCATGCTTTTCGTGAATACAATCCTAATATTTTCTCGAACTAGAGAGGATGGGGTCACTTCCCGCCAATGCACATAAACACAATTTGAGACCATTTAGTAAAACTCTACCAAAACGATAGAATTTGGGAAAACAGACATCAGATTCATATTCGGTACGTCGAAAAACCTAAGGAGGGACCTATGTTTCCCCCACGCGTTGCCACGAGGTTGCGACCCGGGAGGCCACGCGCCACCATATGCGCTAAGATGGGTCATGGAAAAGTTCATCGGAAAGGTTTCCATCGTGGATGGTAGAGGCGTGAGTGCTCCACGCGTAGGCCATCACAGCCCCCCACTCGCACCCACGCGCCGACTCATGGAACTGGGCTTGGGTCCGGGTTATTGGATTGGATCCAGGTTGGATGGGCTTGGTTGTTGGATTTGGCCGGTGCTGGATTTGGCGTGGGGTTACTAGGTTGGATTTGGGTTAAGGTTAATGGGTTGGATCGATTTTGGGTTGGGTTGATCCAGTTTCAGGCCCTGGGTCAGCCAGATTCCGCGAAAAAAAAAACCAGAGCTTCCCAAACTCCGATCATCCCCAAAACTCGACTAAAACTAGTTATTCAATATACCAAATTGAAGCCCAAAGAACAAGAAGTTAGAATATACCTTTGGTTTCCTCGACCGTGGTCGGAGTTGGTTGGAAAATGACTCAAAAGCCGTTAGACCTCATCGAAAAATCTGGAAAACGCTTCCTCGAGTTATTTTCATGTTTAAGCATTCACCAAAACCATTTTTATTCAACAACTAAATAATCTAGACCATGAGGGAAGAAGATCGAATGGTGGTCCATGACTTACCTTCGTCAAGGACGGCGATAACTCGTTGGATTCGATATTGCATAGTGATGGTATTATGCAGTGAACGAGGGAAAGAGGGAAAGTAAGAGATTTCTCAGCCTGGTTTGGGTTCATAAGTCCGTCACCCATCGCCGAGGAAAGAGTCTGTGAAGTTTGGGTGCTCGCGGAACAGCAGGTGGTGGTGGCGTGCCAGTTTACAAAAAAGGAAAAAGAGAGGTAGCTGAGAAAATTAGAATGAGAGAGAGGATTGGGAGTTGAGGTGGTGGTCAATGGGGTAGCTCATCGGAGAAATGTGTGTAAGTGTTGCTCGAAAATGAGGGAGTGATCGAGAAAAATGAGGAAGAGAGAGTTCCAAAGATTGGGGGAGGGAAGACACGTGGCAGAAGGAGAAGCGGGGTGTGGACCCCACGTGATAGAAATTATTAAAATAATAAAAATATCTAACCCTAATATCTAGAATGGTGAATTGACTATTTTACCCCTCGACTTCGTAGTTTCGTAAAACATTCATCGCAACTCCAAATTCAAATCCATTTGCGCCCATGCGTCCGCAACGTCAAGTACTAGAAAGATATGCCAAGGAAATGATTCCTACGTGACACAACAAGGCGGTCAACAAAAGTCAACATTTTTTCCTCGAATGCCATTTTCATAAATTCACGCTTTAAAATTATAAAAACCGTAATATTTGGGGACGGGTTGTTATATATTCCACCTGGCTATGCATCGGTTTCACAACTCGGAGTAGTGTGCAAGTTGAATAAGGCATTGTTTGGATTGAAACAATCACCTCGAGCATGGTTTGGTAAGTTCCGGATGGCTATGAGGAAGTATGGGTTCGGGCAGAGCAATTCTGATAATACACTTTTCTTGAAACGTCAAATGGGTAAATTGATGGCACTCATTATCTATGTAGATGATATGATTGTTACGGGTGATGATAAAGAGGAAATCTCAAGGCTAAATGATTATTTAGCAATCGAGTTTGAGATAAAAGATCTTGGTGGATTGAAATATTTCTTGGGAATAGAAGTAGCTCGATCTAAACAAGGTATATTTCTATCTCAATGAAAGTATGTTCTGGACTTGTTAGCAGAAATTGGAATGCTTGATTGTAAACCAACCAACACCCCCATAGTCCAAAATCATCATCTTGTTATGCACCCTAATCAAGTTCCCGTTAACAGAGACCATTATCAACCATTATCAAAGGCTAGTTGGAAGGCTAATTTATTTATCTCATACCAGGCCTGATATTGCATATGCAGTGAGTGTTGTTAGTTAGCTTATGCATTCCCCAAGTGATACTCATATGGGTGCGGTTGAACGCATCCTACGATACCTAAAGTCCTCTCCGGGTAGAGGCATCATGTTATCCAAGAATGGTCATTGCCGGATAGAAGGTTATACTGATGTAGATTGGGCTAGGAATATTACTGATCAACGGTCCACATCTGGCTACTTTACATTTGTGGGAGGTAATTTAGTGACCTAACGGAGTAAGAAATAGAAAGTGGTTGCTTTATCAAGTGCAGAGCGGAATACAACGGTATGGCAAAAGGAGTATGTGAATTATCATGGCTTTGGAGGTTACTCGCAGAACTCGGGTGTCCTTCAATGTCGGCGTCAGATTTGTTCTGTGATAATAAAGCGACCATTGATATCTCACACAATCCATTCCAACATGATCGTACAAAACATGTGGAAGTTGACAAACACTTCATTAAGGAAAAGTTGGATGGGAATATTATTCAATTCCCATTCGTAAAGTCAGATGATCAATTAGCGGACATCGTAACTAAAGTTGTAACGTCTCAAGCGTTCTACAACTCTCTCATCAAGTTGGGCATGAACGACATTTATGCACCAACTTGAGGGGGAGTGTTGGAGAGAATTGACCTTTGTAATTAGTTTAGTTGCCTGTTTGGGTCCTTGTAATCAGGATGTGATTAGGGTAGATATTATTTTATATTTCTTCCTTTGTAAAATAATATTGTACAATATATATTTCCCTTCTTGGTGAGAAGAATAATAACATAGAAATTAAACCCCAAAATAAGTCCTAATTAGCACCATTAATGGAAGTGAATAAGCAGCCATATATTTTATGATGCATAAACAAAATAGCAAGGAGGACAAGAATGTACAAGCCAAGAACGTACAGCTATATGACAAGTTACTTGCTGTTTTTCTTTGCAATAAGTTCCCTAATTTTGATGCCAATTAAGCGATAGAAGTACTAAAAAAGTTGCGACCGTGTGACTTTGTATTAAGTAGAATTGAAACAAAAGAAAATTGTAAGTGCCTATAAAGGATACCAGGAGATAATTTACCAACCACAAAACCACTACTTTACTACTACAAGATTGGGATGTTCTCCTCTCAATAAATGTAATTAGCCAAAATTAAAATTTAAAATAAAAAGCAAATGACAGTCAAGATAGAAGGGACCTAAACCTGTGCCTATAGATTCGAACATCAAAGTTGTAGTTTCAGGCAAATTCTTCCCATTCGCAATGTTGATAGCCCTCACTTGAACCTCATCCAGTAGTTCAACCCTTGAAACCTAATGGTTATGAAGAAGACATCTGTGAAGAAACTGAAAATATGAATTTAAATATGTAATATGCGGTTAAAGCTCTACCTGAATTCCCGACAGCATTGTAGCAATAGAAACATCTGTTGCATCCTTAGTTGAAGGGAGATTACACATAGCAACCTACAATTTAAATTTTGATTAATAACATAATGAAATCACTGAAGTATACCCTGTAAACAGAACTGTAATTTGTGGTCATAAACGGCTAGAAGTAATCAACTGAAACAAAAATTATGCAAGAGTCCATAGAAATAGACGTATCAACTTACCACAGAGTGTTACGGAATTTTCTGAAGCCGCAGAGTGACTTCCATTATTGCACCAAGCGATCTTCACTTCCAATCACCAGGCGGGTCAAATCATACCAGTTACGTGCAAAGTTTTTAATGTTCACAACACGCCTAACTACCTAGAAGATCAACCACACAGTTCTAAAAGATAAAATAGAATAGGAAACAAACCCTGCAGCACTCTCTCTAGCAGGAGAGATGCAGTCTTAACAATATCTCCATTTGCAAGAACTACCTGGAAGATGAACCAACATCAGAAATACAACATTACAAATTTGTGTCGAGCATCAATTAGATACTGATGACATTATCACGCATGGTACCATACCTACTTGCTAAAAACAAAATCATGAAAATCAATATTAAACTAGACCAATGAAACTAAATTAAGTTTACATAAATATCGTTGATAGAATAAAAAACCAATTGTGCAACAAGATAATCAAACTATTATATGTATATGAGTTTTAAATGCTACTAATTGGTGACAAACACTAAAACAAGTAAAAAGGAATGGGTTTGGTAAGCCGATCGTGATTCCATTGAGCAAGGAAGAACAGACATGCAAGTCATCGTCTTGAAGAGGAGACCTCAAACATTAAGAGGGAGTGAGATCTTCATGTGATCAAAACTAAGTGGTCAGCAGGATCAAGAAAGATTGGAAAACACGTGTAAAAATCTTTCATTCATCTTCACAACTTTCCAGGTCTTTTCGATATCATTCTGAGATTTCTTACGTATTGTGTGTTTATATTAAGAGAGATGCTAAGAAAACTTTCTTAAAGTGAAGAAGTTTTTAATTGTGACGAGAACACAAATGATACATACTATGTTTTAATTAAAATGGTAAGAAATTTTATTTTTTAAGTTATTAACTTTTTAGTATACATATCCAATTATTTGTATAATAACGTGTACCATTCGTGTACCGATTACATTGAAAAATCTCTCCTTAAAGTGATACTATTCATGAACCCTCATCTTACAATTTAACGTTAATTTTCATGCAAACACTATCAATCATCACATGTTGAAGAGTTTTCAATCTAAAGTTGGCCGTCATGAAGCATAAACAGATTAATAATTTTTTTTTTAAATTATATTTTAATTTATGCATAATTAATTGTCCCATCTTCTTCCCAAATCTGGAACCCATTAAAGTTATATCATCGCCTCTGGCTTCCTCCGTCGTCATCCACACCCGCTCCCCTTCTCCTCCTCCCATGTCAGTGTTGTGCTAGGATAGCACCAAACCCGTTGGAACCAACTCAAGCTAACCCACAAGAAATTTATCAAATGAAAATGCAAGAACAAAATATAAGAGACACCAAGATTTTAACGAGGTTCCTCAACAGTCAGTGTAACTGGAGTACGTCCTCGGAGCAGTAGGAGCTCACACAATAATCCACTATCAACCAAATGGGAGTTTACAAAGTGTTGGCAATCTCACAACCCAAAACCTCAATACAACCAATAGCTTTCACACACCAAAGAAACAAATAGAGAAAAAAATATAGTGATTAATTTCTTCTCTATATAAAGCTCAAAGCTATTACAACAACAACTACCTTGGTGGGTGATTACTAACCAAAGAGAAGAGCACCTTCTTCTTTTTTTCTGCTCTCAGTTTTCTGCTCTCTGCAGCTCTCTTTGCTCTCTCAAAGATGGGCTACTAAAACAGAAAAATGGTGCACACTTCCTCTCTCTTTCTCACTTGCGTATGCTCACTTCATCAATACAAAAGCACCCAATAAAAAATTCAAAAACATCATCATGACCCTCAATTTTTCTTTTCAACAAACATAATCATGATGCCTCCTCATCATGATGTTCCCTTATCATTTTGTCTTTCACTTTTTTTTTCTTTTGGTTTGTTTATTAGCCGAAAGTTGTATTGTTTTGTTGTCCACTTGACCACTTGGCCACTTATTCAACAATCTTCACCTTGGCCAAGTTCCGAAAAACGTCATGATAAGCCAACCAACACAATTAACACACAACATCACTCCCAAACATTAGCAAGAGAACAACTCATGCCGAGCCAAATGCTCCAAAACTCCTACTGCTCAACGCCTTCTTTATATAGGTATAATGTGAGCGAAGTTCAAACAGTGAACAAACTTGGCTACACCAACAACCTTAGTCAACATATCAACGAAATTGTCTTTAGTTGGAATCTTCTGGAGAATGATTTCCCCTTCACCAACAATTTCACAAACAAAGTGATAACGCACATCTATGTGCTTGGTCCTCGCATGATGAACCTGATACTTAGCCAAGTAAATGGCACTCTGACTATCACAATGTACCTCCACCTACTTCTGATCAACCCCCAAATCTCTAATCAGTCCATGTATCCAAATGGCCTCCTTTATAGCTTCAGCAACTGCCATATATTCAGCCTCTGTAGTAGACAAAGCAACAGACGACTACAAAATGGACCTCCAACAAACTGGCCCTTTAGCCATAGTAAACACATAGCCTGTAGTAGACTTCCTTCCATCCAGATCACCTGCATAATCTGAATCAACATAACCAACTGCAAAATGACCAATACCAGAGTCATCCCTCTCAAAGCATAAACCAACATCTCGAGTACCATGGAGATATCTCAATATCCACTTAGCTGCTTGCCAATGCTCTTTACCTGGATTATGCATATATCGACTCACCATGCCAACTGTATAAGCAATATCCGATCTAGAGCATACCATTGCATACATCAAACTACCAACCAAATTTGCATATGGTATATTTTTCATTTGCAACTTCTCTTTATCAGTTTTAGGACATTGTAGAGAACTCAATTTAAAATGAGGAGCCAAAGGGGTACTAACCGGTTTGGTTGAATCATGAACTCCAAACTTCCGGATCAACTTCTCAAGATATTGTCTTTGATTCAAACTGACCAAACCCTTCTCTCTATCTCTAGTGATCTCCATGCCAAGGATCTTCTTCGCTTCACCAAGATCCTTCATCTCGAACTCGTTCTTCATTTGTTTCTTCAATTTCTCAATCTCTTCAACATTCTTTGAGGCAATCAACATATCATCAACATATATCAATAAATAAATGAAAGACCTATCTTGCAACTTCTTGAAGTACACACAATGATCATATTGACTTCTAGAATAATTTTGGCCTCTCATAAATTTATCAAACCTCAAATACCATTGCATTGGAGATTGTTTCAAGCCATAAAGTGATTTCTTCAATTTGCAAAACAAATTTTCCTTCCCTTTCACTATATACCCATCCGGTTGACACATATAGATCTCTTCATTCAAATCACCATGTAGGAAAGCCGTCTTCACATCGAGTTGCACAAGCTCAAGATCATATTGTGCAACAAGAGCTAACATAATACGAATTGAGGAGTGTTTCACAACCGGAGAAAATATTTCATTGTAGTCAATGCCCTCCTTTTGTGCATACCCTTTAGCAACTAATCTTGCTTTAAATCTCACATTACTTTTCTCATCAGCATCTTCCTTCTTGGCATACACCCATTTGCAACCGATAGCTTTCTTGCCCTTAGGCAATTTAGCTAACTCCCAAGTCTTGATCTTCAAGAGAGAATTCATCTCATCACTCATGGCATTGCACCACCTCTTCTTCTCCTCACTCTCAATGGCTTCCTCGAAATTAGATGGAATATCATCAATGATAATAGGAAGAGCAAAAGCAACATAGTCACTATACCGAGTTGGCTTGGTAATTTGTCTCTTTCCTCTGTTCTTTGCAATATATTCTTGAGGTGAAACTTGCTCTTCAACTTGAATAGAATCTTCAAGTTCAACTTCTTCAACATCCTCATGGTTTCCAACTTCTTCACTTGTAGTGGCTTCGACATCAGCGGAAATAGGATTTGAAGTACCAGAGGCAACTTTTTCAAGCTCCACCTGTTAGACATCTTTCACATTCTTCTCAGAGACTTTGTACATACTTTCTTCATCAAATGTCACATCTCTGTTGATTACAAGTTTTTTCATCTCTGGGCACCACAACCTGTAACCTTTGACACCACTACTAAAACCAAGAAAGATAGCCTTTTTGGCTCTAGGATCAAGTTTATTTTCAGTCACATGAAAATAAGCAGGTGAACCAAAAATACGGATATAGTCATAATCAGAAGAAGGTTTTCCAGTCCATAGCTCCATTGGTGTCTTACCCTGAACAACAGCTTAGGGTAACCGGTTGATGATGTGACATGCATAATTAACTACCTCTGCCCAAAATGACTTGCTTAAACCCGACTGAGACAACATACATCTAACCTTCTCAAGCAAGGTTCAATTCAATCTTTTTGCAACTCCATTTTGTTGTGGAGTTCCCCGAACACCGAAATGTCTCACAATTCCTTCCTCTTTGCAAACTTTAAAGCAAAGATCGGATGTGTATTCACCATCATTATCCGATCTCAAAATCTTAATCTTTCTCCCAGTCTGGTTCTCAACCATTTTCTTCCAACCCAAGAAAATGCTTAACACCTCACTCTTGTGCTTCATAGTGTAGACCCAAGACCTTCTTGAATAATCATCAACAAAGGTCACAAACCAATGTCTACCACTCAAAGAGGGAGTCTTTGTAGGACCCCAAACATCCGAATGCACATAATCAAGAATGCCCTTCGTCTGATGTACAGCAATACCAAACTTCACTCTAGTTTGCTTCCCCAAGACACAATGCTCGCAGAAATCAAGCTTACAAGTCGTGGCACCTTTTAGAAGACCTTGTTTCACAAGCCCTTGTAGAGCTTTCTCACCGGCATGGCCTAATCTCATATGCCACAGTCTAGTAGTATCTGAATCAGATGTGCCCATATTTTCTGAGACTACAGACGCTTCACCTGTCACGGTGCTTCCTTGCAATAGATACAAATGACCACATCGATGAGCTTTCATCACAACAAGTTCACCATAAGTAACTTTCAATGTCTATCCATCTGAATGAAATCTGAAGCCCTTGGATTCCAAAGAACCCAAAGAAATAAGATTTTTCTTCAAATTCGGTACATACCGAACACCTGTCAACTCTTTAACCATGCCATCATGCAACTTCAAACGAACTGTACCAATCCCTTTTGTTGTGCAAGGATTGTCATCTCCCATGAACACAACGCCACCATCAAACTCTTTCAAGCTTGAAAACCAATCCTTGTGAGGAGCCATATGATGAGTACAACCCGTATCCAACACCCACTTAGTGGCACAATCAACTGATGAAGAAGTGGTTAAAGCAAAATCAGAAAAATATGTTTCAACTTCAGCAACATTAGCTTCAGAACTTTCTTTGCCTTTAGTCTTCAATCTAGGACAATCTTTCTTCCAATGGCCCTTATTACGACAAAAGGCACATTCATCCATTTCCAAAGGTTTTCTACCTTTAGAGTTTCCTTTAGGTCGAGACTGTGATTTTTTCCTACTAGAAGATGATCTTCTCTCCGATGATCTACCTCTAACAAATAAAGCTTCAGAGGTACTATCATGATTTTTATCTCTATGCCTCATTTCATAATTCATCAAGGCATTTGACACATCTTCAAATTTCACAGTTTCTTTACCATGCATAATAGTGGTAACAAAATGCTCATAAGAGTCCGGCAAGGAATTCAACAATATTAAGGCCTTATCTTCATCCTTAATATCCTCATCTAAATTTAACAAGTCGGCAATCAACTTATTAAAAGCATTAAGGTGTCT